ATGATTTCTGCCTAGATGTAGCTTGGCTGTTTTTATACTCTTCTAATGATATCTTAGAAGAGTAAGTCCCTCCTGAGACACTTTACTTCTACCTGAATCGGGCAGTTTCTAACTTTTTGAGAAAACAGCATTGAGAGGTATTATGCATGTTGGATTAGGTTTTAGTTCTGGAATTTGACCTAATACAGATTCTAGTTCCTCCTACTAGGTATGTGAACATGAGTAATTTATTGAACTGCCTTAAGCCTCAGTTTCCTCATCTGTAAAATAGAATTAACAGTGGGTCCTATCAGAGTTTTTAGAAAGAATCTATGAGATAATATAAGTAATAAAATGTTTTCCATAGTGCCTAAAACATAGTAAGGACTCAATAAATAATAGCTATAGTAGTGCAGGTTATTGATCTTTTCTTTGTTTCTGCTTTATCTCTAAAAACATTACTTTCTGTTTAGATATATCCTGGTAGGGTAGACTAGATGAAGGAAATAGTCATTACTTGGACTACTTCTGTTTTAGCATTATACCCTCAATTTTCCCCTCTTTCCACTTTATTTTCTTCATAACACAAGTATAATCTTTCTAAAACATTCACTTTCCCTGAGTCCCCATCACCTGTAATAAAGTCTGAATTCTTAACATGGTTTATAAGGTTTTTATTCTTCACAGTCCCTCTCCAGCGTACTTCTGCCACACTCCTCTCCTCCACACATACTCATCTGCAGTGAGTTCTTTGTTCTTCCCTAAATTAAACCAGTTCGCTCCCTTCTCTTGTACTTTTTTATTCCCTTGCTAGATACACTTTTCTACCGTGTCCACTTAGGTGACCACTCCTATTTTCATGACCCTGTTCAAATGCATTTAAAAGGAAACTCATCCTATTCTTTATGGCCAGTTTGTAGGCATGTTAAGATGACTGAACCTAACTTGTAAGTTGCCAAAAACTTCTCGAACCTTGTATGTCATTGTGTTATGTCTCTTGTGTCTCCTTCTTGCTAATTGTTTTCCTAATTGTAGCATGCCTCTTTAAGTTAATATCCTCAGAACTGCTTTTGTCTTATTTTTGCAGCCTAATTTACCAATAGAATATTTAATTTTCAGTCCTGTCTTTAATCCTCAACTAAGCTCTTTCTGCACCTGGTCAAATCTACTTACCAGTATGATGATAGTGTATATGGAAAGATGTGTAAGGGATTAGGATCCATTAAAATTCCTTTGTTTTCACAGAAAAAAGTTAGTGTTCAATGGTTTTATTTTAATACTGTTAGGAGTGGAATCTCATTTAAGATCTTTGCATCACAATGCCTAGCACAGTGACTGAAATGCATAAAGACATAATAAATATTTGTTGAACTTAATAATCAGTTTTCTCTAAGGACAAAAGAATTTTTTAATTTAAGTGTTCTGTAAATTATCATTGATCATATTAATTATCCGTTCAGAATTGGTAAAGAGTGGGTATGGCTTAAGGCATGGGTTTGTGCCCTAAGCAGTAGGTCTCTACATGAACTATACATAAACTTGCTCCAACACTGTCTCACACAGGTTCACTATTATGAAGATGGCAATGTGCAGTTGGTTAGTCATAAAGATGTACAGGATTCAGTGACTGTTTCGGTGAGTGTGGAATATTTAATGTCTGTGTCACCTGTATCTTGTTTTTCTTCAAAAAATTAGTTTTGATCCTGAGTATTGATTTTACCACTAGAAATTCAGTTTGTTTTCAGTGCTTTGATTTTGGAAGCTTATGAGAGTATGTAAGCAACCAGCTATATTAGTTCAGTTTTTGACTCAGAATAGTGGGGTTAGAGAATTCAAACTTCCTTCTTTCTCTTTCTTTCTCAATTTTTCTTGTATTCTCAGTACTTGTTTATATTTCTAGAAGTTACTAAGTGCCCTCAAATAGCTCGTTTGTGTTTTATATCTATCAATATTTATCTGTTAGAAATTAAGAACTATGTATGGTGCCAGATGGGTACTAGATTTATGGGGATGATCACTTAGTAAGGTATTATAAATGCCTAATCACTATGTCATTTACCTGAAACTAATATAATATTGTATGCCAACTGTGATTAAAAAATGTTTTAAATAAAAAAAATTCTAAATACAAAAAAATTAAAACTGAAAATATTAAAATAGTAATTAAAAATAATAGTAACAAACCTATTAATTGTTAACCTAAATAACATTTTTGTGAAAAACAACTATATTTCCAAATAAAAAATAAATCATTGAAAAGAATGACACTGATTTACATTTTCACAAATTGTGCTATGTCTGACCTAATAAAAGAACTGGGTTCTCATGTGTGCGACACGTATTCCATTAACTCTCGAAGTGATCAGACATTACACATGTAACTTCTTTGAAACTGCGTTGTACATACGTGAGAGCGCGCTAAAAGGGCAAGTCACTTTGTCTTTGTGTTATTACAAAACTAGAAAATAGTTTCGACTGTTCGAAAGAATCTTGGGACTGCTGCTCTAGGTGTGAAATTTTTACCCTCTTTCAATTCTATTGTACTTAATGGTAAAAGGAGAAAGAGTCAATTCATTTTGTATATGAATCATGTAAATCAAAATGTGATTGGTTGGTTTAGCATCATAAGTAGCAAATAGAGGAGTATGTGAGCTTAACATATATGACCAATCTGTCTGAGGGTACTGTTTATGTCATCTTAAACCAGAGATATTTTCAAGGCATAAAAATCTAAAGGCATCATGATCATGTCTTTTATACTGTGGTAGATTGGAAAGAGCATGGTTTTTCTTGTTTTGTCTTGTTTTTGGCAAAGACCCGGATTCAGATTCCGTCTTTATCATTCAAACGCTGTATAATTTTGGTCAAGTCACTTAAGAGGGTTCTATTTTCTCATTTGCAAAATGGAGGTGATGATAACAGATCTACTTCACAGGTTATAATGAGAATCAAAGATAATGTACATGAGAACACTTGACAGACTATAAATTGTCATACAAATGTTAGTGAAGATGGACTTTTTGGACTTTTCGACTATCTTTTTAGTCATTGTTTACACATTTTAAAAAATTCATATTTTCCTCTCCTCATTAGAATGAAGTTCAAACTGCCAAGGAGTTTATTAAAATCATAGAGCATGCAGAAAATGAGTATCAGGTAAGGAGATTTGGAACTAACTTCTAGATCTGCTGCTGTATTATTTTGCTGTTAACATTTCGTTAAATTTTTGTGTCTTTTTAACATAAATATATATGTTGTTCAGTGTTAGTAAATATGGAGAATTTGCAGACCTTGAACCTTGGCATTCTGCTTATGATCAAGGCTTCAGCATTGGAAGGGACTATAGCCCTAGTTTTAGAAATGATAGAGGCGGGCTTGTTAACTAACCCACTTCAGATTGGACAGGAGCTTAGTAGAAATAGTACGTGCTGTCTATCCTTGTGAGACTCAAGCATGTCCTTCGACATCACTTACTTTCCTATTCACAATCATCCCGTCTCTGTTCAAGCAACTTATCTTCAATTATCTATTGCAGACAGCGATTAGTGAAAACTATCAAACAATGTCAGACACCACATTCAAGGCCTTGCGCCGGCAGCTTCCAGTTACCCGCACCAAAATCGACTGGAACAAGATACTCAGCTACAAGATTGGCAAAGAAATGCAGAATGCTTAAAGGCTGAATGTAGGATTTTTCAATACATGTAAAGAAAGGATTCAACGTGTGGTCATAAGATAAATAAGTGATTTATAAACAAGAGTGATATTTTGCTAGGGCTTTCAAAGTTAACAGGTTTTCTAGCCTCATGGAATACTGTTGAACCTATAGCATTGTCTTGATACTTTTGTTTTCTCTGCCATGTAATTTTCTGTTTTCACTATATCTACTTGTAAATTTTTTTTAATTCTGCCACATTTAATAATGGAGAGAGAGAGATCTATTCCTGGAGTCATTTTACTATTGAGAAAATTTTCCTAGCCATGAAGCCCTGTTACTGAGGTAGACAGGTAATATGTTCAGTGCTTTTTTACCCCCGTCCTTCGAAACACTCCTGGTACTTCCGTGGTTTATACTGATCCACCAACAGCTAAAGAGGCTATGCTACCAACTGTAGCTGAATGGAAGACACATTCATCCTTCTCCCTCCAACTGCTTTGATCATTTATAGCATCATATACTGTAGTTTTCAAAAGTTTAGATTGGAGCTTTTCAGGTCCTTTTGGGGGGCAAAGGAAGTTTTCTGGGAATTCCATTATAGCCAGCTTCTTTGCGGAAGTCGTTTTTAAATCCAAAGACTTGAACCACATTCCCTGCACATGAACGTGTTTTTACCCTTTCCTCATTGTCTTCTTCCAATCTAGTACCATTATAGTTGTTATAGACATCTGCATTTTTAGCAGAGTTTTACCCATTTGTTTTTTTTTAATATTCAAGAACTGCTGACATACGAGAGATGTAGTAGAGTATCAAACTTGAAAAATGCAGATGTTGAAGAAATAATAGGTATCTTGTGCTTTAATACTTTGTGGCAGGATTGTACTATAAGCAAATGAATCAAACAACTATGTAAATCACAAACAAAACCTAAACATGAACCAAAGTGAAAAGGATAACTTCCAGGCAGTATCTTTCTATTGTAACCTGTTATTTAAGGGAATACTAGTGATTTGTTCTAAATAGGATGTAAAACTTGTTCCAAATTATTTTTCCTCAGTCCTGCCTGCCAAGAACTCAAATGTAACTGTGATTTCGCAACCCTTCCCAGGTATATTGGCAGGTATATGTGTGATCTCAGAATACACAGGTGACATAGATAAGATATGACAACTGAAATGGTGGATTCATTTACATTGTTTACACTTCTATGACCAGGCCTTAAGGAAGGTCAGTTTTTTAAAACCAAGTAGTGTCTTCCTACCTATCTCCATATACATGTCAAAAAAGAAGGGTGTTTGTGCTTCAGCTTTGTTTTTGCTCAGTAATACAGTCAAGCAAGAGTTTGTTTCCAAGTGACTCGTTGAATTGTGTAAGCATTTTCGTTTATTTCAAATAAAATATATTTGTATTATTTGTCATTCCTACTATTCATCCATACCACAGTATCCTCTGTATCAGGTAGTCCAATAGAAATATACCTGTTTTGTTCTTAAATTGTCTTGAGTCTCCTTTTTGATCTATTTCTTCAGCCTTAGTTCACAAGATGTGGTACTGCATTTGATCTAATTTGATGAGAATGTTCAGGGTTTCTGAAATTGATTCCTACCTTCAACTATTGTAGACACAGTGAATACAGAAAGATTTATAAAGAACGGGTCTTTTTTTTTTTTTCTTTTTCTTTTTTTTTTTAACCAATGTGTCTATGGATTAAACTGCTTTTCACTCTGAGGTTACTGGTGATTCAAAGGTTTTGTTTTGGGTTTCCCATTTCTGTCAAAAAGAAAAAAAATCTAGTTGTCTTTTCTACCTATGACTCAGGGACAGTTGTAGTCACTAAGCAGGAAATAGAAATGGTAGAATCCTTGTACCTCAAACTTAGGTAATAGTTTACATTGACTTCATTCTAAGTGCTGCTTTCCTTGCATGCAAATCTGACGTAGCTACAGATGTGTGGGAAAGGCTCTTATCCTGGTTCCCAACAGAGAGCCAGAGGCATATCAATGCTTTACCCGCCATCCAAGGCCAGTTCACATTCCCACCTTTTTGAGGGACATGTAACTGCACTACACCTTGCCAAGTCCTACAGAGACCTCCTGACTTTAACCTTCTTCAGGCACACAGTATGAGCTTGAATTGTCTTATTTTATCACATGCTGCTGAAATCAGCCTGTGGTATCCTAGGGCAAAGTGTTTCCTAGCCAGAAAGGAGTTTTCTGTGAGGCATCACTGCTGTATTTGGGTTTGAAATCACACTGCTGAAGACTATTTATTTCATTTGAGCCTGGGTGGTTGTGTTTGTTACCTCGTTCCAGTACCTGTTCTCTGTTTTATAATCTAGAACTTGGATGCTGGACTCATCTAGGTTCATGAGATACTTGGCAACCCTTGGCACATTCTTCGCAAACTCAGAAAAAAACGATATATATCTGAATGTCAATTTATGACTAATTTTCCATGGAACTACCAAGCTACCTAATATATGGAAAATCAAAGAAAGGAAGATTGGTAAATACAGAACACAACTGGATGGTCCATCAAGATATGCTGAGCTAACTAAAATTCTCCCTTGAAGAGACAGGGTATATAAAGATAGGGTAGATCTAAGCCAGCTTGAAGGCAGAAACCAATTTCACCCCTCTTCAAATCCAATGTATTAAAAAGCACTCTGTACATATAGGAATGTACAGTTGATTCTCACGGTAGTTATTTCTATAAAGTTGCCAGCACACATGAGCAAACACTGCAACATTGCTCGTAGGGGAAATACAAGGTTAGGTTCCTATGAGCTTCTGGTCACATTTTTGTCAATTGATCAGTACATAACCCTGTTTTATATGTGTTTCTATTTAAATCACTTTATTTGATATACATTGTTAATTCATTAAAGTTGAACTGTCTGCCACCGACACTAATTCATGCCTGAAGTTCAAAGGAATTGTCTTTGTAAGTCACAACACAGCCTTGTGCTAGGTGGGCTTGGGGGCCATTTTAAGCAATGAGATCAAAAAACAAAAAAATGACCACGAAAAGGACATTTGTTTATAATATGAGCTAAAACTAAAGCAGAAATCACCTTGTTCCACTTCAGCTGGGAACAGGCACACTAGGAAACTCAAATTTTCGCTGCTCTGGACACAAATGAACTGCAGAAGTACCGCAAACACTAATTTTTAAGTTACAATTAAGTTTCAGTGAGTAGGTGAATTTGTAAGTACGGAATCTGCAGATAATGAGGATCAACTTGTACCTCCTACAGCCTCTCCTTTGGACTAAGGTAGACTGATTTCAGCCTTTTAGTTTAAGGGCTGATTTTAGTTGCCTTAGGGAGTACAGTCTGGAATACACAATGTTAGAGAACATTCAAATGCAATTGTAGAACCTAAGGTACTATGGAGTAATGAGAATTAAGAAAATACAGAGCTTTTAATCTTCAGAGCAGTTATCTTGGGAGTCTATAGATCTATTCCAGTAACATCACTGACCACAGTTAACTTTAGGATTGCCTTCAGTGCTATTTGGACCCATACTAAAACCAACCTTATTACTTTAAAGTCTCATATTCTTATAAGTGCAAATGGATTTGGGGAAGGCTTCAAAAATGTGAAAAGTGGGGAGGAAGACCATTCTAGATATCTAGCCAGCACGTTTGAAAATAAGAGTTACAACTCCATGTGAAGCTATTTCTTTCAGATGAAACTGGTTTGGAGAGGTTACATTGTAACCAAAGCCACATAATATCACATTTTTACCCAAGTTTTACTCTACTATGGTTGTTTGTGTATGTTTTGAAAATATCCAGGAGATAGGCCTAGCCAGAGAGTGGGAGATTAGGTATCCAAGATTTATGGAGACTTAAGATTTGTTGATCAGAATGGAGCCAGACATGGTAGTTTTTCGAAATGGTAAGTAAAGCAATTTTGAGTTCACTCTCCTTACTCTTGGGGCTCACCAGGTAAATGAGGGAGAAAAAAGGTAAGATCTTTCTTAGTTTTTTCCCCCTACTTTGTATAATCAGTTTTTTAGATATTTTCCCCTGCTCTGTTTTCCCCCTCCCTGGAGCCTTGGTTCCCACTGACTTTGCATTTCCTGTTGCTGAAGGCTGTTTTTCCTGGCTTTAGTAGGTTGTTGGCCTGGCAAAAGGTACAAGGATAGCCCAGCTGGAACATGACTCGAGGTCTGGATTTTCCTCACACTAGGTTAGATTGTGTGACCGCCCACAGTATATTTGTTTATTTGGTATATTTGCTTAAAATTTTTTTGTATAACTTTCATTTTCTTTGCCCCATTCTAATGTGTTTTGTTATGCGGGAGGAGGCATAGATGCAGAGGCTTGTTTTATGTTTGTTGTTGTGGTAGCCCCACCCCCTTTCGTTTGTCTGAATAGTCTTTTCTAAACCATGTTGGTCTTTTACTTCTCTTCCTGGTACTGATGCTGACAATTAACCATTTATTGCCTAAAATAACAGTCTCTTGCTCTCAGGAAGCTAATATTTTGATGACTGGAGCAACCCTTACGTATACACTCGTAACAATTAAAGAACAATACAGACCGAAGTGCAATTAAGTGCCCAAATATGTGGCTCAAGGGTAGGGATCACCAGCCTCTCCACATCACGAAGCCTGTGTACCAGAGAAAAGTAATGACTGTTCGTCCTGGCGGAGCCTCTTGTCCCTCCCACACGTACACACCTTTATCTCTGAGACACTTGGTTCTTTCCCTCAAACTTCTTTTTCTCTTCAGCCTTCCTCCCGGAGTCTGAAGGGGAGGGGGCGTGCCGCTCGCTTCCGTACTGGTTTCTGTCCCGGGGAGTCTGGGGGAGGTGCTGGATGAGCTGCCCCAGTCCAGCTGCAGCCGACTCAGGTCCCAGTCCCCTGCCCTTTGCTCTCCCGCTTTTCACTGAGTCCCGAGGCCCTGGGGGCGAGCGTGGGAGTAGCCCAAGCTCAGGCTGGAAAGTCTGGACCGTTCGGGGGGCCTCAGGCGGTAGCCACGTTCAGAGTCTGGCTAGAAATCAGGGGAGGGAGCTTGGGGCAAGGGGAGGGCCCTGAGGGAGGGGTCAGACTCCTTTAGTAAAGAGTTAATGGGAGAGGGGGAGGGGATAGGACGGAGACCGAAGGGAAGGCGTGAGAGAAGGGACCCTGCAGGATCAGGGATCTCAGTTAGGGGGCTTCCCCCCGGCTGCACCCACATCTTAGGGCCGCCAACTTCTAGCCGCGGCGGCGACTTTCAGTTTCATTTCCCGGACACTTCTGCCTGGGCCGCAGCCGCTGCCGCCGCCGCCGCCGCCGCGATGCCCCGTAAGTTCAGCTGCCGGCAGCTCCGGGAGACAGGCCAGCGCTTCGAGAATTTCCTGGTGGAGAAGGGACTGGACACGGAAACAGACCGCGAGAAGCTGCGAACCCTTTATAACCAAGACTTCAAGATCAGGTACGCGCCGGCCCTCTCCCTGGCCCAGCTCGCCTCCGCGACCCCTGCGGCGGGGCCACCCTTC